AATTATTGTAACAAAAATATTAAAATTTCAGCATACTTACAAAGAGATAGATAGTAGAACTCAGTGTAGTTTATAATTCAGAGGTGTTGGATGACAACTAGTTTAGTGACCGTAGAGCATTTGTCAAAAAACAAGTAATGAACCTGCTCTTACAACTGAGACATGTTCTCAATACTGTGCAAGGCTAATTCTAAATTTTATTTGGGGGTGCAGGAATCAATTTACATTAAGTCCTACCAGCCATCTCTCTGTAAGAATCAGTGACTGTTAAGCTTAAATGTAATTAGCCCGTAACTTTTATATAGCTTATATAACAGTTGGTCATTGGTGTTCATTTTAATCACTCTTCACAAATTTCATCCCCAACTGAGCTCTTATAAGAGAAGACAAATAAACCAGTTTAGCTGGGTTTTTTCCTTATTGTGTTTCGATATTACAACAACTTATGGTAATTTTTTTTTTAATTTTGTTCTTTTGTTTTAATATGTCCGTTCTATCACTTTAATTAAGAATTGTTATTATTGAAATGGTGTCATTCTAAAAAGCACCAAGAGATTGAAAACATTCTTAATTCATTCTTTTTAGAACCTGAAAATTTTGGCAGACATTTATAACAAAGTTTCTATGCACAAAACAAAACAGAAAATGGTATTGATTCTATTGATCATATTATATATATATATATATATAGAGAGAGAGAGAGAGAGAGAAAGAGAGAGAGATCATATGCAGGAAAACAAAGAATAGGCTGACAATGATATCAACAGTTCTAGGGATAATGATCAATAATTGCAGAAATCTCTAAGGATGACAATCAAAATGGCCATTTCTTCATTGAACAAACTATTCCTCAAAGATATGCTCATTACATTATTCAGTCACAGGCTCATTTGAATTCGTCTGGTGTCTAAAAACAAATATTAGCAGTATTTTTCTTTTCTTTTAGAATTATATAAGTAAACAAATTGTTCTGGTGCCAGACACTGAAACAGAGTCAACAATTGGACTGTTTCTTGCTCAATATATTCAAAAATGCTAAATAAAAGAATATTTCTTTAAATAAGAATAGCTTAGAATTTTTTTCCTCTACAACATAAATTAGTTTTCATAAAACTGATAAGCAATTTTTTAAATAGAAAAGTAAAATTTAATTGTTAACAAACCTTAGTAAATGTCCATAATAAAAATTAGTGATCTCATGAAAAGAATTATTTTTAATTCATTAATCTATTTTATTTATGTATTTTTATACAATCGTTTTAAACAGATTTCTAGTCAGATTCTCTTCAATTTGATTCTTTTGGCCACAGATAATTCTTACTAATTAAATCTGCAAAATTCCATTGTCTAGGTTTGCAATTTATAAATCTAACACAAATTAATACATTATACATATAATAGCCCAATTCTGCTAGTCATGCAATAGCTTTCTTTCTGATTTACAGTGCAATTTTAAAGTAATATCATGAGCAATGCATTCATATTGTATTATACATATAACAATTCCAATCTATCAGCAACTTTTGCTTAATACCCATTCCTGACTACTGATACTACCTTTCTGCATATTTTTCAATGCAGCATATATGGCAGAAATACCTCCCATATATACCTCCCACATAATGGTAAGACATTAGCTAGATGAAGATACCATTGCCAGTAATGTTTTACCATTATGTGGGAGGTATTTATACCACACCATGTATTACTATGGGACATTTTAATTCCTTCATTGTTTGGTAAACAAACTTCACATACTGTTTTAATTGGATAACACAATAATTATAGAAAAACAACATTCTGTAATTATTAAGAATGGACTATTATAATTTCTTCTGTGATGAAATGGGGGCAAATGTACCCTTTCTACTCTCCCTCTCTCTCAGTATACCTCTGAAATGTATATTTTACCTATATGTCTTAATAGATCATAGATAAGTATTAAATGTACTACAGAAATTTAGCATATATGGAAACATTAGTGTGAATGGAAGTTTTAACATATTTGCTTAATAAATTCTGCCAAAAATATGTTACAAACAGGCCCATTGTCAGTGTTTGGAGCAATAAGGGAACTTTAAAATCAAAGGAGCTACAAGTAAGACTTGGCAACAAATCTTAAGTATATAATAATATGTTGCAATGTAATGTCCCACACTCCCTATCACCTATGTGGATTAATTATATCAGTAGCTATATATAGTGAGCACAGGATATACCTGGGGGATTGCTTCAGGAATTACTAGCCTGCCACCCGATTCTCTGTATTTCAGTTGTGTATTCTCTTTTACAATAAACCTTTCTTCTTTCATGTACACGTGTGTTGATGTTCCTTCACTCAGTACCACCTTTGTCTGTTTGTAACCTCTTTAAGGATAAAACATAATAGATAAAGAATGGAGAAATTATTAGTTTTAAATTGTGATTAATTGATTTGTAAATTGATCTAAAGCTGAAAAATAAACAAGCAAAACATTTTTTGAAGCATCATTATCCTCAACTTCCAATCCTTTGTGAAAACTGATCATATTGTACATAGCTTTTTAAGTATTAAATTTTGTTATGCCCTCAACATGAAAAACAAGTACGTTAATAAAATTAAGCTGAATGCGATTAAATATTGGTCGTAGTAAAGATATTTCAACAGTCAGATATTTGTTCATGTTGTCTTTGAATGCTATTGTAGGGATGTAAAGGGCGATTACCTAACTTTGGTTAAGACAAAGTCACAAGGTTCACATGATGACCACTGAATGACGTCAGTTCATGGGGGTGTCAAAACCTCAGTTGTTATTTAGCACACATAAAGGCAAGACATATCTGCCCTTGTCAGCTGTTAATGATAGACAAGTATGGTATTAGACATCATCTCAAGCTAACAGCAGTAGGGAGAACAGAAAATCCCACATTGTACCTCAAAGTTTGTAGAACATACTACCAGTCTGATTCCTTCAAGAAATATTACAAGTAAGAACCTCTCATTTCTTTCCTTTCCACACTCTTTTATTTGTTTCTAATGAAATTTTCTTGTTTCTTCATATTTTGCTTAGCTTTTGGAAGGCATCTTTTGCTATTCCAATATGCCTTTGGATTTCAGTGTCACATTTTCTGTCCTCTGTTACACTGTTTTATTCATGCTACAATTTGTGTGTGGGACAAATCAGTCACAAGTATTTATATATTTGTATATAATTTCTTGTAAATCTCTTTGAGAATAAATCATGTTTGTCATTCCTTTCTTTCAATTATTATGTTCCATCCATGTATATAGCACAGATATATTCTTTCTTGCCTAGCACCACCATAAATACCAATAGTTTTTAATCACATGAATTCAATGGGTAATATGTAAAGCATATTGACAATTTATATACTGTACAACATGGATCTGTACAGTACTGCATTGACCAGCCAGTCCTGAAGTGTACAAAACCACATTCGTATTAACCTTGTTTAAATTCATTCTAAAGGAAGTGAAGAGTTCTCTAATGTAAGGGAGAAAAATAATCTTCCTCTGTCATTCATTTCTGATCAGGAATGTACACATTCAACATTGTTAAAAAGATTTCAATTTTAAGAATTAATATATCAATTGTTTTTGATTGTAATTTGTTCTGGATTTTCTATTTAAAAAATATAGAGAATAAAAATAATTTTATAACTAGCATTCATTCAAAACCCACTTATTTAAAATATTCAGTACTTCAACAAATATAAACTGATTTATATGGAAGTAAAATGAAATTGGGTTCAACTCCAAAGGATCCAAAAAGTTCTTATGAATTCAATTTGAAAAACACAAAGAGGAAAAGAACAAGACAAAATTCAAGAAAATAGTTTGAAACCCCCAAAAACCTTTTGTTTGATATTTTAAAATGAAGTATTTTATTACTCCTAAAATCATGGGAACTGTAGCCCTCATTTTTGTTGCTTTTATCACAATGCTTGATCCAATGTTTTTTTTAATTTTCTTAGGTTGAAACTGTATCCTTGAATATGTTGACAAGATGGCAAATACTTAAAGGCATTCATTTTGACTGATTTGTTTTTTTATTTCTTTTTATCTCAGCCTTCTAAGAAACATGAAATCAGAATAGCTTCTGATAAGTTGTCCTGATCTTTTTTTAAACATTTCAACCCAAGCAAGGTGAAAAGCCACTAAGACACAAGGAATTACTCAATGTGAAAGAATCTTGACCCAAAGAATTTCTCTTACATGAACAAGTTAACACTTTTAGCTAAACAGATATTCAAGGGATACTAGATACAAAATATATCAATGAAAGGTCAAAGGACAGATCAGCTAAACACTGATAAAAACAACAAAGCTAAGGATACTATCCAATTGAACTGGCTCTTATAAAGGTAGAGGATAGTATGAGAAGTCAGGTAATTACTGGAGTGATACAGAGAACTGATCATTTTACCTGCATCTTTAGCAATGGATCATATATAGGAGTTCCATGAGGTCAGGAATGTGAATTTGAGGCCCAATATCCTCTCAGGGCAAAGGGCATAGTTAATCAGTAATATAAAGCAAAGAAAATGAAATGAAGGTAAATGATAAAAATGCAGAGGAGGAGGAGGGCCTAATATACCTGTGGGTTTTATATGGTATTAAATACAGCAGTTAATCAAAATGAAAGAAAACAGAATTTTGTTATGATTAAACAGTAGACAAATAATATAGGTTGAAGAACCAGAAACAGCAATATGCATGAATTTAAATTTAATAGCATATAAAATCCAGGGGAATATAAGACATTTCATATTCATTTTTTTTTAATTTACCTTCTTTGTATTATCAGCATTTATTTTGTCACTTTAACTACTGTATTTAATAGTATTATAGGTAAATAATCAAAAATGGAGGTGAAGTGTCTTATGTACCCATGGGTTTTATGTGCTGTTAAATACAATAGTTCATGAGAGTGATTGTTAATGAGAGTAGTAGTCAGTCAGAATGAAAGAAAAGACAAAACAAATAAAGTAAAACTTACTCTGATGGCGATCTACATTTCTGTTTCTCATGCCTGGTTATGGCTGATGTTTCCAAATGAGGATTAACAGCAAGTTCCGCTTGTGATGAATTAGTCTTTGCCTCATTTAAATACTTATCCAAAATATCCCCTGAAAATATATAAAAAATGAAAAAGAATAGTGACTTTCATATGAAAAAAAATTTCAAACTCAAATTTTATTTAAAAACAGCTAAATACAAATTGGAGATGTCAATATCAAGCAAGTATATAATTTTAAATATCCTGGAAGCATTTTAAAATAGGATGGAAAATATGACACTGAAACCTGAATATGCATTGGACTAGCAAAAGAGACATTTCAAAAGCTAAGTAAAGTGCTGAAAACAAAAAAAATAATCATTAGAAACAAAGAAGAGAGTGCTGAATCACTATGTTAGTGAATTCTGGACAATTGCCCCACAAAGAAGAAGAAAACTGGAGGCAACAGAAACGTGGTCCGACACAAGGATACTGAGAATTTCAAGGACAGAGCAAGTAAACAACAAAGAAGTCACAAAGAAAATGGCGGCTCAGATTGACGAATCGGAGAAAATAGTGGCTCAGATTGACGAATCGGAGAGCCGAGTTCAAAATCCATTCAAATCTATTACATTCACTTATGTGCTAATACCCTTGGGAAAGGTTTGAATCCTCTTCTTCACCCTCCGGCTATGGGTAAATAGCAGGACAGACTGGGTTCTATAGCCTTGGATGGCAACTGGACTACTGCAGAAAGAAATGGCAATCTACTGTGGGGGAAAAAAATCTGTCTCCTCAGTCGTATTGAAAGATACAGGATTGCTTAAGTGTGTGTCACACATGGTATATAACTGACTGATGTAGAGTTTTAAAAATAATGTTTAGTTGGGTTTCATAGAAGAACAATGCCTCCTGTAAATGCATGACATGTACAAAACAAGTCATGCAATAAAAAAAAAAAGCAGGCATGCTCATTAAATCTCATTCAACCCATTACGAAACTATTAATCAAATTCAATGAATATAAATTTTACAAAGTTATTTAAATTTCATTATTCCAAGATATCATTACCAATAAAAATTAAATTCTGCCTACTTTACACTTGGGAATTGATACAATGTTCTAAATGCTTTTATTATAAATCAAAAACAAAACTCATGCACAAAAACATGATGCTCTAAATATGGCAAATGTGTCAGCTGACTATAGTTGAGCATAATATATATGCATTAATGCCACGCAATAGCAGTATATATCAGGCAATTGTTTAATAATCTTTCTTTTTAATCATTATCCACATCTTTATTATTGTTGTTATAACCTTTTGGCAGGTCTATTCTCGAGCCATTTTCAGATAACAGTAACATTTAGTGTACTGCCTTTGTTTATTTATCTAAAACAGGCCTAGTATTGTAGAGTGCATAATTTTTAACCATTGACTCAGTTTTGGAAAATAGAAAGTTACATCTCAGTAACATTTGACAATACTCCTAAAAACAACCAAAAAATCTTTAATCCGAAAACTTTCAACTTGTGTTCTAAATAAGAGTTTTACTGGAGGTAGTGGCATTTTAATATTGCAATATTTCAAGTAACTTACATCAGCAAGGAACAAAAAAAGTATCAGAAATTGCTACATACAAATATTGTTTATTCTGGTTATTCCTTTTATCTAAAAGGTGCACTGGAATAGTAAAAGACGCTTTTCAAAAAATAAGCAAAGTACTAAGAAACAAGAAAATTTCATTAGAAAAAAAGTGTTGAACTGCTATGTAATATCAGCCTTCCTATATGACAGTGAATGCTATACAATCAACTTACAGATGAAGAAGAAACTTGAGGCAATAGAAATGTGATTCTACAGAAGGATGCTGAGAATATCACGGATGGAGTACATGAGGAATGAGAAAATGGAAACAAAAGGACACTTGGATTCAAAATCAGAGACAGATGAAATTTTTAAGCACATAATGAGGAAGGAAGGCTTGGAGAATTTGACATTCACAGGACATATCAAAGTCAAATAGGGCATCGGGGGATGGGCCACCTACCTGAAAAACTTGTGTGAATGGATAGCAAAACTGGAGGTTGGGAGGGTTGTTAAATAGACTAAGAGCTAGAAAGGAAAGTAAGTTGTAGATAGTTATGATTGCCTGTGTCTTGAAGTGTACACAGAAAAAGCTGTGGAGGATAAAGCTATAACCACACCAAATGATACCGCTGTAACTTCAGTAGTAAGTGGAGTTTCATATATTTGGTTTGTTTTTTTATGGCTTACCAACCTTTTACAGGCTATTTTAAAGACAGAAAATATTTTTAGAATGTAAGAAGTTTTGGGGGATAATAGTGATTTACTGATACTATTCCTACTAATAAACCCATAGATGAGGGAGAAGAGATGCCTTTTCATACCTTCCCAAGGGTATTTACACAAAAGTGAATATAACATGACCGGAATTCAAACTTGGCTCACCAATTTCCAATTTTGAGCCATTAACAATTAAAACACCCACACTAAAGACTCTGACTTGCCTTACTATTTGCCCTTAGATGAGGACAAATGTGGATTTATGCCTTTCCCAAAAGCAGCATGGTGAACACGAACTGTTACTGCAGGAGACTGAACTTAATTTGCTGATTTCATTCTCCATTCTGTTAACCATTAGGCCACTTGCACCTCCATGACATATATGTTATTCAAAAAAAGTTTTCATAGTTCTTTAGACTGAGATGAGAAAAAATAAATATAGGAAAAAAGATTAAATTGGGAAAATCATTCCCATTGAGTTTAAAAGTCTTTTCCAACAAAAATTATTTCATATTATCTAAAAGCTAAAGCTATTAGAAAATTATACAGGTATATAAATACCTTTTGATTAAAACCATTTTAACTTTAATGTGAGGCAATAGTGAATCTCCAGATCATAGATTTATTTCTTGATAAGTCTTTTATTAATAACAAAGATTGAGTTCCAGAAAAATTAAAATGGTTGATCAGAGTATTTCTGAAAAATAATGTTTTAAGGAGTGTGGTATGATCAATCTCTCCCATTAAATATCTGTTCTGAACATATATATTCACAAGAACTCTGCTGATAAGCAGAGTATATTAAAGCTTACTGATAAGCGATATGTATTTTCTAGAACAATTCTACTACAATTTAATATACTCTCATTGTTAACCATTTTGAAAATGGCTATTTTATTGTCCAGACAAACTTATTGACCCCATTGCACCTGACGGTGAACTGGAATATTGTCACTGGAGATTAACTTTCATGAACTTCCTGAGCACATACTGCTGCCAAAATTCAAAAACGCTACACTATCTCACCAAATATATCCCAGCACAAGTTTATGAGTATTTCTCAGATGCATCTTCCTATAAACTGGGCACCAGATGATTGCTTATTTAAACTTTTGCAACAGTACTCTGGGTACAAGTTCATACAAAAAACCAATGAATCATCAATGAAAGCATTATATAAATGCAATACTAAACAGATAAAATATAGACAAAAACTTAATTTAATTTCAAGAACATATGGCCCAGTGGATAAAGGTGTTGGTTCGATCCTGTGACTAAGCCCAAAGAGTTGTAAGTTCAGTACCAGGTTACAGTATTGGTGAACCAAAACTTGGAGAGTTGAGTTAAAGGGAAATAACTGAGACATCCAGTAGAGGCATGGCATGTGGAACTAGAACAATCTAACCCGGTGGATGAAATAAAGGGTTCGGTTCAAAATTCCAATCTCCTGAAGAAGGTTGAAATGTTGTGAATATGGCAATGAAGATGAGGATAACAGTTTCAATAATATAAATAATGTAAGTAACTTAATTTAAGTTTTACCTGTACAAAGGAGAGTTGACGGAAGGTGGTGGGAAAGGGGATAGGGGAGATATAATTATTGTTTGGAAAGGGAGAATTCCATAAGAAATTAAGTCTTTCTGGGGTTTCTTCACTTTTGTCACCAGAGAGATTTTTTTTATTTCGAAAGTTTATTCATGAACCAATTTGTACATGATCCAAGGTTCCACTGTACTTGTGAAATAGCAACCAAGGAAAATTTGCATGACATCATCTTCCATAATTCAACCAATAAAATTTCTTAATATATTTTTACATACAGAAACCTGATTCCATTTGGTAAATAAATCTAAAATTTACAAGGTTATCAATGGTAATGCCACTTTTGGAACACCCTGTACATTAAAAATGAAAAATGAAATGGTCTTTAAACACTTACTAGCTACAAGGCATCAACTGCCCTCAGACTCCATTGACGGATTTTATCAAGCCTTGAAAAATCTAAAACTGTTCATTTTCTTCAGTATCAGCGGGACAATATCGAACTGAATTGATCCAAGATACCTTCATAAATGGGCTACGAAATACTTGAAAACAGCACCTTAACATTAAAGCAGGCCTATGACCAGTCAAGAGTACTAGATTTAGTAAAGTAACATGCTAAAAATTATGATGCAGTTGCAGTATCATTAGAGACATCTCCACCTATTTTGGCTTCCCAATCATATGAAATGCTAGGCTCTCCAAAAATATCAGCCTTAACTAAATGCATGTTTTTTCTGCAGGAGCAAGAGACATGAAAGTTCATTATGCCCCACTAGAAAGTAACTAAAGTTTGTAAAAGAAAAAAAGGGAGCAAAACAGTAACTTATTCAGTATCATTCAAAATACTTGGCAGCTTGTCTACTACAACAATAGAAATCACTACTAATGAACAGCCACTAAAAGCACTGATTGACACGGGGAGTGCAAAAAACGATAATGCAAGGATTGCAAAAATAAAATCATGGAAAATTTATATGTGCCTAAACAGAGTGGCAATGGCTAGCTCATCTCTTTCCATACTAATACTTGAATATTGTTTAGTAAAGGGTAGTCTATACCAAGGAGTAAGATACTTATGCTGTGACCTAATATTAGGGCACAACTTATGTCAACACTCATTAGTAGAAATACACTTCAGAGACTCTAAACCATTCTTTAAAGTCTGCAACCTAGCATGTATGAGAAATCCAAACACAATTCTCTTCAACAATTTAACAGCAGATTGTAAGCCAGTAACTACTAAATCTAGGCAAAACACTGAGGAAAATAAATTATT